TGTATTTATTTCAGAGAAGGTTTATTTCGTAGAGCTAAATGTATTTTCCAGCTGTCTCTTATTTTCATCTCTTATTTTATTAATTAAAATTATACTTATCTCTATTTATTTACATAATGAGTGAGTCAGTATTAAAAAGATAACTTTGCAAATATTTATGGACACACATTACAAAGTACTGTACATTTGCAGTAGTGTGGAAAGTCTTTGTTATGTTATCAAAGAGCCAAACATACATACATGCAGAGAGAAATACACAGACCTGCCCCCTACAGAAAACACAGAGTATGTGAATACCCTGAACAGCATGACAGACTTAAGCAAAAGACCTACAGCCATGTAATCTCTATCATTGCACGTTAACTGAATACTTCCATTCATTACTGCTCCACTGTATTTTAGAGTGACAAATATTTCCCCCAATCAGAAAAACTATGTTCAGTAATAATAAAGCCATTTTAGTTTCAGAGCTTATCACAAAGCTACTATTTAACTAACTGAAGCACACCTGAGGCGAGCCTGGTTTGGGCTGAACGATGATGTGAACAGCTGAAGGTGATCAATGTCAAACAGACAGCAGTGAGGCTGAGTTCAGACACTGAGACAAGCAGACAGTAGGGAAGGCAAAGATCCCTGCGCTCACTGAGGTGGGAATGGATCCTGGACCAATGGAACTTGTGACCATGTTACCTTAACACAGTCTGCTCTGACGTCTGAGGATTAAAACAAAGGAGTTCAAGTTCTAGACTTAGACTCAATAATTGATGAGAATATCTTTGAATTTCACATTTAATTATACATTTTTGTGGTCTACATCATCCAGCCAACAGCGTCTCCAGTATCAGTTATATGACACGAAATAGCCTCACAAGCAAATATTCTCCTTTTAATAACTTTGCATGATGTAAACATTAACGTGTTCATGTATAACCTCCTGAGTTACTTCATTATCTGAGTGTGTGCAGTGACAGATACGAGCAGAACAAACAAGCATGGAGAAACTTGTTCTGTTCATCGCCGCTGCGTCAGGCAAGTGTTTTAAGGTGTTTTTATATTTGCTGTAATGAAAACAGAATGATAGCTTGAATAGAAAGCTACAGTATGTCAGTGGCAGTAATCTAGTATTCTAGTTTCTTGGTTCCTGTCTCTGTGCCTGTTTCATGTTCCCAGTTTTGCTTCCCCCCCAGTCTCATTGTGATTTCTCCCAGCTGTGCTCTCCCCCCGTGTCTCGTTCCCTCGCTATCTCTCGGTGTTTTTAATACCCTTTGTCTGCGTATCTCCTGTTCCAGCTTTCCTTGTGTCACAATACAGCTGTGTGCAGGCAAGAGAAGGAGCCAAACGCAAACCCGCAGAGACGAAAAGTAAACTCAAAAAACAGCTTTATTGCTGGTGTGGAAGGGAAACAAAGAACAAAACTAAACTGGGAAAACGAATAATAAATCGTACTTGGAAACATGGGGAGAATAACGGGGATAACGAGGGGGAATGAGCCACAGGAGGAGAGCACAGCTGGGAGTAATTAGGCAGGACGAGACAAAGGAAGCAAAACTAGAAACATTAACATAGGACAGACTGTGAAAACAGGAAACACACTGACTAAACTCAAGACATGTAAACTTAACAGACTGGGGAGACAGAACATAGGGACCTGAAACATGGGACAGAAAGGCAGAGTAGACACGATATGAACATAACGATGCCACAGGGGAAGAGTAAAACAGGACAGAACACAGGACCTCTTTCAAAATAAAATAGGAAACTTAATGAAACGCAGACATGAAACACATGAAGGACGAGGGAGACTTAACAGGGGTTGAAAACACAAGAGGAAACTAAATGGCCTGTATTTATATAGCGCTTTGCTAGTCCCTAAGGACCCCAAAGCGCTTTACATATCCAGTCATCCACCCATACACACATTGGTGA